TCGTGCTCGTCGCCTGCCTTTGGCAGCCGTGGAATCCTCTGTCGTTCCGCCGCGATTCTCCCCTTCGCTTCTTCCCTCCGTCGTCGTCGTCGTCGTCGTCGTCGTCGTCGTCGACCGGCGGCGGCGGCGATGCAGAAGAGACCGCGGGGGTGCCCGTTAAAGGCAAACCGTGAAAGGCGGACCTTCGACAAAGAGCCCCGAGACTGACGGCGCAGCCGAGATCGGACCTGATCCGGAGAGAAGGAGTCCTCTTCGCGGGATAATAGCGCGGATAGCCGCGAAAGTTACGAGTCGTCGGACGGCTAATGTTGGCGTCTATCACTCAGAGCGGCGCTAATGGCATCGGCCGGGCTTCCCCCCTAATGGTGAGGGCCGCGTGGTCCCGGCCAGCGGTGGTCCGATCTCCGACGCGTCTTCGTTTCTCGGTAACAGAAGTTATCCGGTATCGCGTTTCACGAAGAGCTTTATTTACGGACGATTGATGTCGTTTATAACGACGACTCGTGATAATTGGCTAAAAAATCAATATTCGCGAGAAAAAAAATAATTCTTCCCCCCCTACTACTATCATAATATCGTGCGATTTAATTATAGGAGAGAGACTCGGTGATGAGGATTTATAAATAATCTGCATATCAAGGAACTGAAAGACATTTGAAAAATTCGGTCAATTTTTGTCAGGTGTAGAGCGCACGCTATGGCAACGCTGCAATTTTTATCCGTCGCGTACCATCGAGAAACTTATTCGAGAGACTCATTACCCATAATAATATGGCTTTCGCATTTTATGGAAATTCGAAACGCCACCTGCTCCCTGCAACGCGCGCGCGCGCGCGCGAACCGCGCACGTGCGCGCGTTACGAGGTAATCGAAGTTAGGTACGGACTTTGCGTTGCGTTTGACCCACTTGCAACGTTGTTGCATCGATGAATCTCGTGGCCCGTTGAAACGAAGAAAACTGGGACGCTCGGAAGTAGGATTAACCGTAGTCATCGTCCTGTCGTCGTTCGTCGTCGTCGTCGTTCGTCGTCGTCGACGGTTCGCGTGCCGGGTCCGAGATTTATGACACCTCGCGCCGGCTGACGACCGCGTGCGCGATTTCTCATTGTTAGAAAACCCGGAATCTCTGCATGCACCCGCATTATCTGTCCGATTTCTAATTTCCGATTTCACATGGCCAGGCCAAGGCGATGTGGGTAACTAGGCAAATAGCGGCCCACACACGGGGACGCATATCGTCGCGCTTATCGATTATCTATCGGCCGTCGTCGCTTCATCGGCCCCGCGGTTATCGTACCATCTCGCGTATATACCGCATACTACATACGTTTCTCGTGGAATTGGAATGAGTGGATCTATACGACTCCGTTTCAGCCGACGATGTGTGAATCCTCCGTGGGCGAGAAGAAACCGCGGGAAAAGAGCCCGCGTTTGAGGCCGAGCGTGTGGGCAGGTCCGAAGTCCGACTCTCTCGGTGGACACTCGGTGTTGAGACGCTTTCAGACGAGACGTCTCGCCACGGTCTTTCTCCTCTTGACAAAAGAGGGAATGTCGTCATCGGACGTTCCTACGGGCCATGTACCCCGTAGTGGTACACAGCGACACGTTTCCAATTCATTAGAGATATTTCGAGCGGCGCGCCGCAAAGAGACGCGCGGCAAAGGCAAGGCGCGCCGCGCTGCATTTGAATATTGGTGCAACAGAAACTGCCAGGTAGCTTTCATCTAGGCTGCTTCGAATTAGAAAATCCTCGACTGCACGTGAAGCGAATGCGAAGCGGGAGAGAGAGAGAGAGAGAGAGAGAGACGAAATTTTCAAACAGGAGAAAAGTGACATTAGATTTCGAGAAATGTTGCGAATGTAAAATCGTGAATGTTGAACAATGCAGTTACAGTTGTACGATCAAAGAATCTCATTTAACGGAGCGTGCATTTCTGCTTTTGTATTCAGTTGGAGTGACAGATGTGTAACACAAACGGAGTAACAAAACTTATTTACTCCATTAGCTCTTCAGAGATTGAAACTCCGAAATGGAAATTTACTATTTACTAAAACTCCTGTTGTGCAGTTTTTCGTCAATATTAATTGAGAGGCAATCGACACGAAAGCAGGGATTCGCGAGGAAGGAACAAAACTTTGATGAATCTATTAGCAAAATTTAATATTGGAAAACTCCGAATGGAAATTTATTATTTCCTGTTTTCACTAAAACCTCCTATTGAAAATTTTCAATTTTCCGATTACCCGTCAATTCTGTATGGCAAATCGAGAGGCAACCGACACGAGGCAGGAATTCGCGAGGGGATTCGTGTCCCTCCTATGAAGGAGACGTACGTTTACGTTTTGTCGTGAGAGACGGGCTGGGCACGAGCCTGGCGTTTCGTACATATAGTGGACACTCCCGGATCTCTTTCTCTCCGTCTCTCCTCTATCCGTAGAAAGGTGTCGTCACCGCCGGTTCGCTCCTTCGGGCCGCGTGCTCTTCTCCGAATTACGTAACTCTGTGCGGCGGTACACACACACACACACACACACACACACATGTGTATGAGTGTAAGCAGCGCACGTGCGTGTGCGCGCCTTTTACGTGGCGCGCACAGGCGGGGCACCGCGCCTTCGTCACGAAGAACGAATAAACGCGGATGGACAGAGCGCGGTACGGCGTGGCGCGGCGCGGCGCGGCGCGTTCTAAATCGACGGACTTGGTCGGTGCATTACGTCGGTGCATAACCGTTCGTGTAACCCGTGCATCTGCCGGGCCGGCCATTCAGGCCTTTGTCTCCCGCTAACGTGGGCGTTACGGAATATCTATTGTCGGTACGCGCGCATCCACGCTCGAGGGGGGAAGGCGTGTGTATCGTGCACGCGCGCGTACATGCACCGCTCGCGCGGCGGACGATCTTGCGGCTTCGCGTCGCCGTCATAACGGGAACGACGGCGCGGTGCGTGCGAAAACGTTATGCAAAACTGTGCATCGCGCAATTTGCCCGGCGCGGTGCGCCTCGCAAATCCGCGGCCCGTTCGATCCGATTGCCTATTCTGCCGCGAACGCGCGGCAGACAGCTCGACAAACTCTTTAAACTCGTCCGCTTCTCCGCGGCTCTCGACAGTTTCTGATGAACGCGAAGTCCCCGATGGACGGAGCGCGAATCTATCGAATAGGCAGTGCCAATTCTTCGCTCATGATGAGGAAAACAATGTCTTTGCAATGAATGCATTTTCTTACTGTGCGTGATGCATATAATAATAATTTTACTTTAATGTTCTTTACAAAATTAGTGTAATTTTTTTTAACATTAGAAGTAACGTTAAATGAATATTGACCTAAAAGTCATTATTGATCTATTTCTATTTTTTAAATTAATATTATTTCTTGTATAAAAAATTTTTTTAAATTGTTTAACTGTTCAATAATTACGCCCTTTATATTCTTTCGCTCTCTGATGAAATATATTTGGTTTATGATCATTTTGTTTATTTTCGTATAGTAATTGATTCGTTTGGTCATTTTAGTAAGTAAGAAACGTTGGTACTTTTAGTGTTAAACGTGCTATTAGATTTTTATTAAGGAAATCCAATCTGTGATTGTTTCTATCCTTCCGACTTGCGCAGAAACGCAAGAAATGGATGGAAATGCGAGACTGCGTAAGATATAGAGAAACCACAGTAAAATTTATTATGCGAGATCACAATCTTTCCTTCGGCGTTTTGAAACAAATTTTATTACACGTAGTTTAACGTCGTCACTTTTTCGAATGGATGGACTTGTACGTGATACTACCACACGCCGGTATGTAGCTCTCGGAAAAGATGTATGAGGGATCCAGCGTGGCCGCGCGATGTTAGATCGTTCGCGGATCAAAGGGGAGTGCACTTAACCAGCTGCATTATTTGCAGCCTAAGGATGACTGCAATGATAAATGCGTGCGCGGAGAAAGAAGACCGGGTAGAAATCTTTTGACGCGCGCGCTGCGCTTTAAACATCGGTACGTACGTATACGTGGCGCGGACTGGAATGTATCAGAATACATGAATACCTATTTAAGCGAAACGTTGATTGTAAAGAATACGCAGTGCAAACGGGATTTTAATGTACGGTAGCAGCCGTACGTCTTTTCAATTTGCATCGGGAATGCGTTTCGTGTCATTGCTAATTCGTCATCCATTACGCAGTTTTACTGCGGTTTCGAAAGCATATCTCATCGCTCCGATAAAGATCTTGAGTAACTTCACTTGAAATTCAGCGCGCTTTCCAGCGCTGAAAATATCAATCTCGTTAACACCATTGTAAATTTCAACGTAATAAATTCTACACTTCGCGCGTACCTATAATCAATTTTTTTTTGTATATCAATTAAAATCTCAATTTTATCTTTCAAAATTTAAAAATGAAGTTTAAAAATTTCATAATGTTATCTGAATATTATTTTTGTCAGATAGTTTATAAGGATGCTAGAATCGAGGTTTCGGGTAGGAGAACGAAGGCACGCGGATGGTAAGTCGGGATCGAGCACGACATTCAGGAGCGGACATGATCGCGGCGACACGATCATGCTCTTCTGGGCATTGAGCGCGATCGTGTCGCTTTAACGAAATACATGGCTTTCCACGAGAGGAGCGTGCCCGCGGCACGTTTTCGCCAATGGCATTTTAATCGAAGAGCTCGAAACTCGTGTCTCCACCTTCACCGTGTCGTCTTCCCCCGCGCTTCCGCCTTTTCTTCACTTTGCGTGCCTCCTCCGCGGTCATCCCGCCGCGGCTTCGCTCTATACGAATTTACATGTCGCGCCGCAAACGCGCGTCGCACGCCGCGTGCGAGGTGTGGCTGCAGATGCGCGTGGAATTGCTCTCGCATTAATGCCCATCGGCCCGCGGGCGTTCACACGCACGCACGTATCGAGTGCGCGTCAGTTTAATAGGTGTCAATACTTTTACTATATGCAGCGAACGTCGTATTGACACCAAAAATAATGTCTATTTGGGTAAACTGAATTTTTGTCTTTTGTTTTTCGAATTTTTTTTTTATTCAGGAGAGATCATTTCACTCCTGTATATGCCGTTGATCCGTGTGAGCTTTCCCGGCGAGATGCCTCAGCTTGAAAATACTTTCAGTGTGAATTTGCCAGAATGACTTCTCGCTGAAACACACATTTACTATAAGCACACCCTAACTCACCGCTTGCGGTATTGTAACCTCGGGAGGTTTCACACGGGAGAGCGATGATTTCAGCTCTTCCTCGCTGCCTTCACGCCAACTGTCGTGTTCTTACCTTCTTTTTCCACTGCGGCCGGACTTATCTTCTTGTTCCACTGCCGTATATGTACATCTTTTTCCACTGACGTGTTCTTACAGCTTTTTTCTAACCGGCGCGAATCGAAGAACTTCCGAAGTCGTTAGAACACGCGTTTTCACGACTTGTAAAGTCCTGCAAAATTCAAGATATTCCTTAACTACTGCCACACCTTCCGACTGTGAATTTTAATATTATAACTAACCAAAGCAGTCCAGACGACTGCTTTGTAATTTTTTTTGTGTCAAGTTTATAACGGTGCGTTTTCTGAGATTTCACTGCTACATGTAAATGAATTAATTCACTTTTCTCTTTTATCTGCTCTTTTTTTTTCAAAGATGTACAGATATGCAATATATTTAAATAGTAGAAACAGGTTAATCGTTAATAGATTTTTAATAATTAAATCTGTTATATCTGAGTAACTGTAAATTAAAAAGCTTAAATGATGACTATAGAAGTATGAATAGATAAGCGTTTTTCGCTATTGATTTTAAATTCGCGCTTAAATCTTAATATCTGTAATTTTATTGCGAAAACATTTATCACACGTTGACAGATTAGGTACAATAAAAAAAAGAGACGTAACGCACATTACGTGAAATTTCCGTTAAGAAAAAAAAAGTCGATACTGAATTAGTCGAAAAGTTCCGCAAGATGCGATGACAGTTCTGGGACGCGCCATACATCAGCTCGCGTCTCTCAAAGTCGGATATCTCGAATTTCTCTAAAGCGTTCGTAATAGAATGTTACCGAGTATGGACCTTTTCTACGCGCGCAACCCGTCGCGCGAGATTACGAGTGGGACGGGAGACGAGAGGGATGCCGCAGTGAATTGCTATTTCCACACATGCTCCCAAAATGCATATGCAGATGGGCGTGCGGAATCCGATTCGCGTCTCTCTCTCTCTCTCTCTCTCTCTCTCTCTCTCTCCTTTCTTTCTCTCTCCTTCCTTTCGGGCGAGGATAACGCGATACGAAGCGCGCGTCGGAACGAGGTGCGTCATATGCAATTCGATTTCCCCGTCGCGAGGGGAATCGCTTTGTCGAGGCTCGCTCGATGCGCGCGCTCGAAGGTATATATATATACTTCTCCTCTCAACTCTTCACACGCGGCCCGCAAGATTCTTTCCGTTCGACGAATAATCTCGCGTATACGCGCGCGCGATCGTTCGCCGGTGTGTTGGCGACCCTAAGCTCTCGCGCCTACTTTCTTCGACGAGATCGCGCCGCCGCTGCCGCGGATCTATGCAGAAGACGCGTCCTTCGAGATGCCGCAGCAGGTGGACGCGAAGTCGGCCTTTACGCTCACCTCACCTCGGTCTCCTCGTCTCTCTTCGTTTCTTTTTTTCCTCGGGCGTTTCAGCCGCCTTTTTTGTGTTTACCTTCGCGCCGTTTATGGATCGCGATAAATCGCCGCGACAGCCGCCGCGGCACGAGAACGCTTAGATTTTTCCTACGCGTAATGCTATATGCGCGATGTGTATATATACTCGAGCGTGCAAAAAAAATTTATTATAAGTACATCAAGGCTGGGATTATCGCGGAGAGGAGAGAAGTCTTCCGCGTGACGCGTCGCGCTACCGGCGCGGCGGGAAGATTAGTGGTATTTCACGGCGACGCGGCGTCGGTAACGTTTGCCTTTAAGGAGTGACAGCGAAGTTGCTAATAACTCGATATAATTGATAGAACGCCTTGGAAGAAATAATGTGAAATACCAAAGCTGTACGGTAATATGTAATCTCACGTGTATGTATGACGACGCGGTAGCGTCCGATGACTGTACGGGTTTTCTGTGAAAAGGAGCAGCGCGATTTAGATCTAGGCGCGCGTGTAAAGCTGGATATAGAGAACTCGAATACGATGTGTAGCGCGAATTCATCAACTCGGCGAGTCAAGCCGAGCGGCTCCGTCAATTCTATTCGCAGAAAGAGAGAGAATGAGAGAGAGAGAGAGAGAGAGAGAGAGAGAGAGAGAGAGAGAGAGAGAGACCCATCAGGCTCCGTTGTCTTCAGAGGCATCGACGCTCGATCGCGCGAAGCGGCAGCGGTGGCGGCGCGGTGGCGGCGGGACGTCGAGAGCGTGTAACATTTCCGGAAGTCCCGACTCATTCCCGCGAGTCCCCGAGTACCGACGCGCAGCCACACGCTCGTTACCTCTAGGAAGAGGAAGGTACCGCATAATACTCGGTACCACCTTTTTTACGCGAGATCTGTCGAGTCAGTCGTTCAGAGGCCTGGTCTTAACAGTCGTAACATCTGCCGTCGTCGGTGCCGGCCGGCCGGCCGCGTTGAGTATCCGCGCGGGTACCGGTAGGAATATACTCGACGAGAGCGTGTGTCATCTTCTCGCGCAGCCGCGAAGCTTTTATTGCGCTTCATTACAAAATCGCGGCGGGTCCCCCGGGAAGGCCCTTAAGTGAATTCCTCCGGTTGGTAAATCGCGCATTACAAATAGGAACTCGCTCTCTCTCTCTCTCTCTCTCTCTCTCTCTCTCTCTCCCTTCCTCCCTCTCTGCCGTCCTCCCCCGAGGTAAGCGCGGCGGCCCGCCGCGTAATAAAATTACACCGGGATTACCTCCGCCACCGTCGAAAAGTCCTCCTTCGCTCCTTCGCGAAACGTTCTCAAGATCGTTGCGATTTAACTCACAAGTCGTATAAGATTCGTTGCACTCCCCGAGACGCTCATGGGAACGACGGTGGTAATCATAATATTCCCTGACTCGACGATTTTTTTTTATCAAACGGAAACGACGACGATCTTTTCAGATGCTTATCGCGCAGTTTATTGTATACGCGCGGCTTATCGTAACATATTGTCATATCGTGCATTGTAATAATTGCTGCTGCTGCTTGGGATATTCGCGTCACAAAAGAACTCGGCCGTGCAGCCTTTCGGAAGCCGGCCGACCTTCGTTTCAGTGACGACGACGATGATTCGCCTCCGCGAAAGTAACCGCGTCTCCTACCACGCGCGCGTCCCTGCCATTTTTCCGTTTTCGAAAGTAGACCTCGTCCAACACGCCGCAGAATAGAGAACGCGTTAGCCTGCCGAGGCCGTGATTTATTATCCGTCGTCTGCCGCCGGGCTGCTCTCGGCCGCGCTGCCTCCTCCCCTCCTCCCCGTGTCGTAAACACACGTTGCAACCATCGTGCCGTTCAGTTAAACAGCTGGTAGACCCGGGAACACCTTATTTCGCGGCGTATTCTCTCGCGTCCGCGGAACTTGCTTTCGGATTTGCACCGCGGCCCTCCTTTGTTTACGATAGAAAACGGATCTACGCAGAAAACTAATTAATCATACGTCCCACTTTCCAGAGACACTTCTTCTTGTTCTTTTTTTCTTTTAGATAACATCAGAGGCAAAGCTATTTAAAATTCTCTCGTTTAGTTCGTCCTGATTTTTTTTTTAATCACAATATGTGATTAAAAAGATGATGATCCTTTAAATCTATTTATTTTCTCGTTTTATTATAAAATAAATCTGAAATTGAGGAATAATTCTAAAAATAAAATACAATAATGAATAATGGGCCGGAACCGAGCATAAAAAGGTAGTCAATAAATTAAAATAAATTTTTATGTTCGGTTCCAGCCTATTATTCGTTATTGTATTTTGTTATTACAATTACGAGCCTATAATAATAATTAATTCTAAAAATGTTTGTTCCTTTGGAAGTCATATTAAACACGGCCCTTTTTATCTTTTTATTTCTCCACGCTGATTCGTGCTCCCGTTAAGAAATCCCGAAAATTTATTAACTTCGGATTTTGGAAAGTCACCATCCACCCCTGACTCACGCTCGGTCCCGATATGCTTTTCGACCCCTTGCCCGAACACATCCTCCGATCGATCGATTAATCACCCGAAAGAAGCATGCGGCTTGTAATTAAACACAATCGGCCGATTAAGGCTTTGCACGCAGACGCGGATGGGTTTCTGTGTTTATTCGTGGAGGCCGGCGGAGTCTCCCCGGGAAGCCTGCAATTACTCCACGGTCGTCACGGCGGGCCCACGGCCGATCCTCAAATTACGTGATTGACAGCCTGAAACGTCCGTCAGATCCGGCTAGGATAAAGTCCCCTTCGAAAAGTCTCGGGAAGAGAAGCGCGATAGCACTCTTTCTCACGTCTCTCGCTTCGACTCTCGGCGTTTCTGTCCGAATTCAATCGCGCGGACGGCTTGCTAAATATTTGCTCGCCCGTTCGACGTTCGAAATTAACAGCCGCGGCTGTCCCGTGTCAAATGTCAGTTGGAAGACATCGATACAAAGAATTGTATGCTCCCGGCGATTGATGCTTCGGTTATTTAGTAATTAATGATAATTGCGATTCCTTTGTGTTTCTCATTTTTATGCGAAATCTCGTATTTTTTAAATGATACATTTATATGGAATTTTTGTACATTTGAATACTTATTGAATTGGATCTTGTATTTGTTTTTTTTAATGATACGTTTATATGAAATTTTTGTAAATTTAATTTGGATCTCGTATTTTTTTTAATGATATATTTATATTAGGTGTAGTAGAAAGTTCTTTACTTTTTTTTTTAATTCAGTATTTATTTGAATAACATACAAAAAAAGCTCAATTATCAAAATATTTCCCATTATTATCGATGACCTTCTGCCACTTCTTGGGCAACTTACGGATTCCTAGAGGATAAAAGCTTATCGGTTTTGAAGCGATAAAGTTCGTCTAAAACGTGCTTGGTCTTTTAAATCAAAATTTCCTGCGCGAAATTTTTTATACTAATTTTTACATGTTCTGTAATTTACAGCATTATTACCGTATGCAGTACAAATCATTTTGGCAGCTTGAGCAGCTTTTTTTTTTAAATGAAATGCTAGGTGGATGGAATATCGAATATGCTCTTTAGTTATCGCCATTATTAACAACTGAATAACGGTATTGATTTTTGAGATTATGGCCGCTTGTACGATGGCTTTTTGTACTATTATTATTAACTTTAAAATCGCAAAAAGGCGCAAAAATATTTCTATTTGAAATGATGCTCTGATCAATGCAAAACTTAAAGGAAAGAACTTTCTACTACACCTAATATATGAAATTTTTGTAAATTTAATTTGAATCTTATATTCTTTTAAATGATACATTTACATAAAATTTTTGTAAATTTAAATATTTATTGGATTGACGCTGTAAGCAAACCGCAAGTCCAAATAAGAAGAAAGAGAGAAATTCTGCTACATAATTTATATAAAATCTTTTCTTGGCAAGTGTATATAAATATCGTGTGAATTTGAGAAAAAGTGACGTACGTATTTTTACAAAATATCTTAATTTTTTTCATTTTTATCTCTTTTTTTTTTAAGGCTTTATTTCGAATAACTAAAATAGCTTCGCGCGAGGAGAATAAACAATGTCCGGGACGACGTTCCACGGCGCGGAGATTTACATGCGAATGCGTAGTAGAATTTATTGCCGAGACGAATGATCGATCGAGCCGTGTAATCTTCTCATTCTTTCCACCTGGCTTCCTCCCGCGCTCGTTTTAATCGTGCACCGATCGCACGCTATCATTGGCATCTAAGCGATCGTGGCAATGACCCGCTGACCGTAATGATCACGTAACGATCGACCACCGTGGAG